ACACACATCCATACTTTATACTTCGCATTTTCCATCAGAAATTCTGCATACTGCTGCACATCAGGACTTCTTCTAGGCACGTGTTGCTTGGATGGGAGTAACGGAATTAGACATGATGTTGCCATCTTCTGAGCTAAATGAAAGTCAAAATTTCGTATAGTATCATGTAAGATTATTATGTCCGTATGTTCTTTACTGTGACGGTTGTGGATATATATGGACAGCGGAGGTGAAGTACGAGTTTCTAGAGGGACTAATTTGATTATGCCTACTTATTAGTATTAGTATGTTTTACAGGTTTATCAGAGGAATGAAGCTGTTGTTCCATTTTCATGTTTCCAGTTTGGTTCTACAGGAGTGTTGTGTTTTTTATGTGACACCGGTTGATATCCAGTAGTATTTCATCATGTCCCGTGTGAATCTGCGATAGGGATGGAAAGGTCAACTTTTCTTTGTAAAGCTAATCCATATTTTGTTCATGTCATTTTACAAAAAAGAAATCATTGACTTATTTTCTATCCACATATCTATGTAACTTGTTTTGGTATCATTTTTAATTGAACAATAATGGACCTATTTACGGTCTTCACTTGTAAGGGGTTTTTAATATTTTTGCCAAATATTTTTGGACCACTCTTATTGTTATATAGTTAAAATCAAGTTGAACTGAGTTGTAGATATCCAAATAAACCGAAGATAAACGACAATTGCTCTTAAAGTCAACATTAATTTAAATCCAGAAACTTCAACACAGCCACGCGCGTGAGACTGCCTGATCCGTGCTAGTAGCCATACATATAACATGTAACAAATGCATGAAACCCTAAAAGGAAAACCAAGTTGTAATACATGAGACCAGTGCAACCCATAACATGCCAGCTCGTCCAAGAGCTGGTTATTCTTGAGCAACATATGTACTAATAATTTTGAACAGAAGGACGCACATAAACCCCGATAGCATTAACAAGTCTTCCAGCACGGACGAAGAAGCCCACAACGCTAGTGTCCGTAAGAGGGACACTGAAAGCAGCACCGCTTGGTTTTCCAAAAGGTCCATATGTCCTCACATTTGTGACGAAAGTAAGCGATGTCACAACAGTATCTCCGCCGAAAGTACCGGTTGTTCCCGAAACTTCCTTCACAATCTCTAAAGGGGCAAAAGTGATCTACAAGGAAATAGATAAATCGATTATCTTCTCGGCAAAAGTTGATGGAACTAGCATTGTGCTGCACATTCACTCACCGTGTCACTAAGTTCACCATCACCACCCCACGGACCAAGAGTTTGCTTCTTTCCAGCTTGATTAACGTAGGAGAACGCAATGGAGTCAATGACAACACCACTTCTAATTGTCACACTTTCTAGATGTTGAGGTACCAACTCTGGGATATCAAATTCTTTTCCTCCATGCCCACCCCATGGTCCAATCTTGGTGACAAGGACCTACAAATATAGGCGAAGGAACAACATCTTGTTTCAGCAAGAAAAGAAAAAAAGATGAACAAACTACCTACACTTGTGTATGGGCAAATTATTAGCAGGCTACAATTAAGGGGCTCTTTGAAGACGTTCCAACCTATTTGTACAGAGGTGAGACAGAAGTTTAAATCCTAACTGTCTGACGCAAACATTTCTCCGGAATATATGGATTGGCTGTATATCTTTCAAGGGATGTTCATAGTTGTGTTGCAGGTGGCATGTAGTCTAGTGGAGGACCTCACACAGAGAAGGCAAGTGTTCGGGCGACAATGTAAATCTGGTAGCTGTTTTATCTTTAATTTTTGTTTTCCTGGTCGCCAAGTCATATGTACATAAACTATGCATTGTTTTCGCCTTTTCTATCTTAATAGAATGGGCAAAATGCCTGCCTTTGGCAAGTGTTCGGACGTTGGAACTTCCTCTAAATGTGGCGAGGTTATGCCGCGAGATCTCTGGTGTTTGAGATGGAGAGTCTGGTTAATGCCAGTTTTTTTCATGCAACGGGTGTACCTTAGGAGATGATCTGAAATGTTGTTTTATTTCCAGAGCATTAATTTGGGAGCATGCTTGCCGGGTGAACTTTGTCTCATGCTATTTTTTACTTAAAGAAACAGATGCAAACATGCAAAACACTCAAAAGGATTTAAAATCTTAAAACATGTTTCTTTATGTTAATTTTATTGCTCATTCCACTAAGTTATCTCTCTGTTGTTTTTAGCCGAATTCGATCGTCTGTATGCCAACGTCCAGATTCTCACAAGTTATGATGCATTCAAAGTCAGTAGTACGAATTCATGCTAGCGTTGAGTCACCATTATTTGCATCTCTTGTACATTCTTTGCATAAAAGGCAGCGGAAATGTATACTAACCATGATAGGGTCATTTCTAAAATATAACCTCCTACTCAGTATGGTCTTGTAAAAGCTATCATTTTTAAGCAAGAGCACAATCAAACTTTTAAAATCTAACAGTTAATATCATTACAAATAGTCAAAATCTCGGAAATTTAACAATGAATGTATTTACAAATATTTGTGTCAGAAATTTGGAAGTAATGTGTATGAACTTATCTCAAAAAAATCTTGACAATATATTGTTCTTTTGGACTTTTAAATATGTTGTAGTAGAAATTAAGTGTCCAAGTGATACTTGGAGAGCATATTGATGTCGAAAAATGTCACTTTCTAGAGAAAGTGAATAGTCCAACAAACATTTAGGTGTATATTAAATTTCCCATAATTAAAAGCTAGCTAGAGTAAAAGAAGGCATTGGATGAATTTATCTCACTCACTGGTTTTGGAAAGGCGAGGCACAAAACACGGATGTGAAGCTCCCTGAAACAAGAAGCGTGATCTCTCCCGAACATTTTGTGAGCAACAACACCTTGTGCGAAGGCAAACTCTCCGGTCCCACCGGTGATCGCCCATTCACCATCTGGACTGCTAGCCTTCGAAGTTCCGAGCACCTGAAGGCTGGATCCCTTGAACCTAAATATCACGCAAGATTAATGAGAAGGCTAAGAATATGCATGCATGGAGAATTAAACGATCAATGGGTATTGAATTAAGAATATGCGGGCAATATTTACAATGGGGAAAAGGCTTCAGTACAATTTTTTAAAGAGTATACAAAATAGAAAAGATGTTGACAAACCTCTCGTCGGTAAAAATGATGACGAAAGAGTGAAAATAGTCTGCTTCGTCGATAGCGGTCCCGAAATGCAGGCCTCGCCCACGGGCAACAATGTCTGCGTTGTGGCCGGGGCCATCCCGTATAGGCCAGTCATTTACAGTGCTGAGACCGCACTGATTGGGGAGCTGTAAGTTTGTCATAATTTGCTGGTTCTGTCGAGGGCCTTTGCTCCATTGCTGGAATATGTACAAGTGCAAGCGAAGCTCCTTTTGCTCGATGATTTGCTGAAGAGGAATACTTTGGAAATATGAAGGGTTCTTGGCGGCCATGGCTTCAGGGTATGGGGAAGCTACCTACCTAGCTAGGCCTCTTGTGTCTTTGCGTTGGAGGTGGAAGAGGGAGCCGCAGTGGTGAAGAAGGGAGGGGATGCGATGTATCTGTCACAATTTTCTCCATAAAAATAAGGATGATGTTCAGTTTGGCTGCCTGTACTTGTCAATTGTCATCCGTTCTCCACCAACTATATGCTCTCTTTTATTTGTGGATACACCAACTATATGCTTCGAGGCAGCCATATTCAAAATGTACTTTGATTTAAAGCGGGCGGGATCCTGTTTCGAGAGGTGGTTCCCTGATTTTTTTTATATAAATATAATCGCAGTTTATGAAAAAAAGTCGCTTCAGGGTAATTATGGGGCGCATCATCATGGCTCACCTTGAATATTTCTTTGCCTAGAAAGTACAGTAGTAGTACTATATTGAGATAGGAGGCAGTGCTTCTGTGTGCGTGAGCCGTGGTGCGATTTGCTTTCTATAAAGCAGGATCGAAAGGCCTTGTCTCTGAAATTTTTTACTGAGTCTCGATGCTCACGAGTCACACGTGTGGGCATAGTGTTGGTAATCAGTTGCTCCTTGATCCCTCCGTCCCAAAATAAGTTTGTCAACTTTGTGAGACATTTTTAGTTTTGTTTCCCTCTATGTTAAAAAATATTAGTTTGACCAAGTATATATAAACAATCTATCAAAAAATGTTAATAGTTTTACAATATCAAATACGACAAATCTAATGAAGATAATTTGGTATTGTAAATGCTACTACTTTTATTGATTTGTCCGAAATTTAAAAAATTGACTTAGAACAAAGCTACAACTTCAGATTTAAGGTGGAAACAACCACTCGTCAAGCCCATGGATTCATCCCCCTATGTCCGCCGGTCTGGTGGTTCGTACTAGGCAGGAGAATCTCAATGCCTCAACCCGACTAGGAGATAGGTTAGTGTTTTAGTCCTCGCGGATTACTGTCAAGACGGATTCGACGAGGCTCTGATCCTCCTTGAGTTTGTCCATATAGACGGATTCGATGGGGCTCCGGCGCAGTTCTGTCGGCTCCTCGAAACGGCGAGGTTAAGGTTTCCCGTTGTCAATACGTGCGCCAGATCGATTCAAGGGTTCAACAATGACGGCTGCGGCTCTGGGAAGCTGATCCCTGGGGCATGTGAACGGAGATTTCCT